TACGCTTCAAAGAGAAAAGACGGGTAACATGTAGAAATGATTAAATTCACATTGTGGAGGTTGAATGATAGCAACATCATTGACAACAACCATCTAAATATGAATCTAATGAATTTACCGTGGGAGAAATCGCTCCAAAAATTGGAATTAATTTGGGAACAGTTTCAAAAATTATCTCTCACTGCTGAAGAACAGAAGTAAAAACTTATGAATTTTAGTAGAAAGAAACTTATGGAATTCAATCTAACACTTGAAAGAAACATGCATTTAAACTAAATTACTGATAATGCTATGAAAAACACGAAAGAATATGAGGAGAATAGTATCGACAGAAACAATACTTTAAATAATTTTTAATTAAGAATAAAGCTTATATAATAGAATATTTAGAAATTTTACTGTTTTACTTCTTCAGCTTAAATAAACAATTCAAAATATATATAAAAAGAGTTTGCATAATAAAATATTTTAATGTGGATTTTATTGTTTTGTTTCTTCATTTCTAATAAAATACTGAAATATATAAATTTTGAATATGAGTTTACAAAATTATTGGAAAAAATATAATATATTACATGCATAAGGTGACTTAACTAACACGATAAAAGAATATTACTATTATTATGATCGGCATCTGTGTCACTTTATTTTATATAATTGCTGCATTATAAAACATGGTATTCTTCTGTTATTGGGACCGGATTCAGAAATGTATGTATGTATGCGCTTGTCTATATATATGCACACAATATATGCATATACATAAATACACATGCATACGCACGTACATACTTATACTATACACGCATACATGAACACATATGTATATATACACATGCATTACATTTCTGAATCCGGTTCTTCCCATAATAGAAGAGTACCTAAAACGTTATCTGTTGAAATTATAGGATAAAGGCTTCATCTCTTATCTTGAAAACGTTTTCACTTAATTCTGAAACAATGTCTATTTATCGAAAGAAAAATGTATACGAAAATAATCAAAATAGCATTATAATTTGAAGTGAATCCAATACGTCTTAGATTATTTGGCTTAGGCGAAGCATGCAAGGGCTATATGCTTTAAATCTAAACTAGATCTTTCCTCGGAGAATGAGTTTAATGAAGAATTCCAAGACGAAAAGATTACACTAAATACCCTAAGTGGTTATTGCACGGCAATATTTAAAAGTTTCGGGGATAATTCCTTTTTCAGGTAACTTAATTTTTGCATGCTTCTATAATCGGTTTCGATTTTTAAGCTTAATCTCCAAATTTGAGTTGGTACTCAAGTTTTGGTTTTAAGAAGTGCATTATATGTTTAAAAATCCACTATTATGACAGAAGGTATACGAGATAAACAAACATCCAAATAAATAACATCCAATAAACAAAAACATCCATTTCAGTACGAAAGGCTTCCATCTTTTGTTATGTCAAACAGACTACGAGTATTTTAGATCATTGCAAGCTCTGAGATTGTTCCTGCATAAGAAATAGCTGTTGAGTCATTCAAGAAGTTAAACGTTAATAAGAGTTATCATTTTTAAAATTCTATAGTCAAAGAGGGAATGGAATATTCCCCCACCTAAAAACAAACTCTCCTTCCAAAAAATTTCTTTTAACGATGAGGTTTGTTTTTAGCTAACTGATTACAGTAACAGTACACCTAGAGCAGTGTTTCTCAAATTTATTTCTTCTACCGCCCCCTTTGAAAATCAATTATTTTTCATCGCCCTCCATGTTTTATACACTCCTAAAACTTAAAAATCACAATTTCATTACTTTAATTAATTTACTTATAGTGTGCTATATTAGTCGGTTCTGGTGTTTAAACTTACATTCTAAACTAGAAATTTTTGCCAGTGAGAGCATTAAAACGCAACTTTATAATATTAATAATATATTTTAATCAAATTAAAAAGAAACAATATAGATAGGTAATCAATTTTAGTTTTTAAACTAATCTAATGGGATGGATGAATTTTGATGATTTTAACAAGTTTGTTTGATATCAGGTTCGATTTTACTCAAAAACAGTCGTAAGTCGCCGCGTTTGGTAACTTGCAAATGATTTCTCTTTTTAGTAAACAGCGTTGTCACAGCGCTAAATTTACGTTCACACAAATATGACGATGGGAATGATATCAAAAATAGTTGAACGATCGACCACAATCCAGGGTACAACTGCGGAATTGACTTTTTTGTAGCCAAAATTGTTGGTAGCCATTTTTTAGACATTTACACAGCTGTATGCTTTGCGTCATTTTAAAACGTACGCGCATACGGCGTGCGGGCTATCCTACGAAATCTATGTTAAGCATTTTAAGTTTTTATACTATCATACAGGGTAGAAATATAAACTAAGTATTCGTATTATGTAGTAGGTAGGTTTTAATTCTAGTGAAATTTAAAATATAAAGTAAATCAAATTAGAAATCTACCATCGCCCCCCTAACCCACGTCAACACCCCCCATTTTTTTCTGGGACCCTTAACTCCTCCCTCTAGGTCTCAAACGCCCACAAGGGGGCGTTATCGCCCACTTTGGGAAGACTGACATAGAGTATGGAGAATCTGCATCTCAAGACTCCTTTGTACATTATCATATTTATTTCAAAAAAAAAAAAAAAAAAAAAAAAAATATATATATATAAGATATATCTTATATATATATAATTAGTCAGAAATGTAATTTGAACTCTCTTTTATCTGCAGATGATAATTTGTGATAACAATTGCAATTTATCTATCTCAGAATAAGTGGAGCTGATCTGACAGCGTTATCATGCGACGATTTTCTATGATTTTAAAGTGGTGCGAAATCAAAAAGAATGCCTTCAGTATCTACGATTAGTACCTAATAAATGGTACAGAAGGGACTTTAACATTGGATCAGCAGCTGTATATAAAATTATTCATTAAAAATTGCATATGAAAAATTAGTTTGTCGCTGCCCCTCTCATAATTTAACAGAACATTAAAAAGCGGAATGAATGTATTAGAATCAGTAAAGAAACCCTAAATTTACTTAATAATGATGTACATCGCATTATTTCTAAAATCATAACTTGTGATAAAATATATACCGTTTTGGGCTGTTTCGAGAAAGTTTGTTTAACGTCAGCAACATAAAGTATGGATCTTTGAAACTGATATCCAACCAAAAAATGGTGAAAAGATGATAAACAATGAAAAATCACTGTATGCCATTACTCTCAGAAGTAAAGCACTGGTGAACTACAAATGAACTTGATAACTACAAATGATCAAAGAAATCAAGAAGACAGTTACAGTTCATTGGCACTTTTAGATAGATTTCTTCCAGATATTCTTAAACAGGTGAATATCAGGTGATTCATTTTTAACCGTGATAATGCATCTTCTCATTCAGTGAGACTGACAGTAGAGTTTCTTCCATAAGAACATATAAAATATAATAGAACATCCATCCTGCTTTCTCTAGATCTCACAAGGAATGATTTTCAGATGTTTTTTAATCAAAAGCTAATACACGCGGCCGTCGTTTTGATTCCGAAGATGAAATTGCTGGACTATAAAGGCATATTTTTCATTCGATTACAAAAAATAGATAATTTGAACCATATGAATTTCGAAAAATTCGCCTACAAAAGTGCATTGATATTGGAGGGAATTGCTCTGAACAATTCTAAGATTTCGTAAGTTTAACTTGCGCCTCTTAGCTGCATCTCAAAATTTTCAGTGTGATCTTCGTATTTAGAACAAAAAACTAAAATACAGTTTCAAAAATGCAGTAATATACTGTCAACTACAACTACACCGAAAAATGTTTTGTAGCCACAATTATATAATATTTTTCCTGGGAAAATGTAAAAAACTACAGGTACCTCTTTGGCCTCGCTATTTTACGCTACAATGCTGTTCATTAACCATTGGACAATAAAAGAGTTATCATTGCACTTTATATTATCTTTATCTTTCATATCACCTTATAGATAATTAGTTTGCTGAGTGTTGGCTTTTGATGTAACTTAAGATCTCTAATTTATTTTACAAATTCTAAATGTTTAAAAAAATTAAAAGAAAAAAAGAAAAAAAATCTGAAAAGTTTCAGATTTTAAATTACGTCCAAAAGGGGCGTTTTTTTAACGTTTTGTGTGTTACCTTTATTTATTAAATATCATGTTTTTTGCACTTAAACCATAAAATTCAATTCTACAGCAATATCTCAAAAGAATTTTAAAATGAGCATATCTTTAGAATTTCCGATACACAGTGTCGCACGCTGGAGATAAAAATGTTTTTGTTTTTCGTACAGTGTTGCCATTGTTCGCTATGAAATCGTTGAGTTTGTTAATCAAAAATTCGTTAAAGTTTTTCAAAATATGAAATAGATAATAAAACAAATTCCAAAATCCAAGTTCGGGCTTCCAGATTCCCATGTTCTATTGGAGGACAACTTATTGAAAATTTGATATATCTAGGTACCGTTGTTTTTTCGCAGCGCAAGAAATATGCATACATTTATGCAGCTTCTTCTTTACTTAATTTCTTTAAATATAATGTTGAGCTCTAATATTCGCTGGCAACAATTTGAAAAGTAAAACCGAAATTTATAGTGAACCGACGCAAAATATCAAAACGAAATTATTAGCCCTTCTGAGCTAACGCCCTTTGGGCTAAAAACGACGCTTTTTAGTAACTAAAAACTTCAGTTCGTTTTTAATAGCATATCTAATTAATATTTAAAAATTAATTAATTTTTAAAGTTTTGTAATAATATATCTAAATAGTATAATTTAAATTTTAATAGTAAATATAATTGAGATAATTTACAGTATGTCTAAACAATAATTATGAATATTAGCTGCGTCGTAATAATAGTGTTTCTAATGGCACCTTAGTACAAAATCGTTTGGTTTTATTAAAATTATTCAAATATCCAGGTGGCAACACTTAAAAGAATAAATTTCCTAAATCTTGGTTTACCGATTAAGCAAATACAACTGAATAAATACTTACGCTAAAAAACACGAACGTAGGAGGAGAGCCTTTGCTTACTGTGATTTTTTGCGCAAATTCCTTTTTATAATGTAATTCCTAAACGATTAGGAGATATTTTTTTTTTATCATAACAGGTGCTCTGTTTCATGAGACTGAAATATATCTATATGCATCTCACAACGTTTGAAATAATCTAAAATATTTATCTTCATTTAATTTATCACAGGCAATATTATATTTGCAGGTATTTTTAATTCAGCAATCAACGATATGATAAAAAAAACTTAGCTGGAAGTAATTAAATAAGTTTTTATTGACGAGTGACATGAAGGGACATACATTTCTGAAATTTTATTTCCTGCATAGCTGATTAATAACATTAAGAGTGTATTAACATAAAATTAGATAAAGAGTTATAGTGGATATATTTAATTTATTTCCTAAACTTTGTGTCTGACAGATAATTAATAGGAGTAACAGTAGTTAGATTGAATAAATATAACACACGTAACAAACTTACAAGACCGGGTAACGGGGTATTAACGCTTTTATCAGGAATTAATAATCTTTATAAGTGCAGAAATGCTCGATTAGGAGCCTAAATCAACGTCGGTAAATAACCGCACTGTTTATGTAATTACACTGGTTATCATTAATTAAGAAAAATTCACAAAAATGACGATTACTCAAAACGTTACACGTAGAATTTAATGAAACGGACCCACAGCATACATCATATAGAAAGGTATAAAATAACATAAGAAATTACGAGACAATTATGGTGTTATCGAAATCAGTCCCGGATCTAGCGGGGGGGGGACAAGCTGGGGTTCTTGCCTTGGCGGCAACTCTCGTGGGCGGCAAATTCAAATATAACGCTGGATCGTATATGGTATATTTTGTATTTGGTATATTGTTCGCTAAAACAGCTCTCTAATTTTAGTACAATGTTAATAGCTTTAAGGCCAAGTTTAAAAACCTCTTTCAGGAACATTTATAATTAAATACTAAGAGCCCTTTTAAAGGAACATGAGTTAAAATAAAGTACAGCTGATTACAACTACAGTAAGATCAGAAAGACGCAAATAGAAGGACTCCAGGCGTCACTGATAGAATCAGAGTGACCCTTATCGTTTCTTGTCTGGGCGGGGGATGTATTCAAATGAAAAATAGAACAATAGCTTGTTGAAGAAGTCGCCTGGTTTCCATAGCAACGCCTTCTGAGAAATGGAGAAGCATTGTAACTATTTTCTGACAGCTAACCCCAAAAAAAATTAACCTTGGGCCATCCCAGACAAATGAAATAATTCAAATTAATATTCGTCGAGTATATACAAGAGTATATACATCATTATGTCTTCAAGATGAAGCAAGGCATTTAGATTTCTTTGCAGCCAGTGGGCAACTTAGGCTCACATTTGGTTTGACTCGGAACAGTAGAGCGTATTTTGGATTTTAAAGCTAGATTTATTATTTTTATGGTTATTTTTTAGTTTTCAGGTCTCTTCTGTACTCTTTTTTTTTTTTTTTTTTTTTTTTTTTTTTTTTTTTTTTTTTTTTTTTTTTTTTTTTTTTTTTTTTTTTTATATGTTTGCTGCTTTTAATAGCCCGCACGTTATTCTTATTAAGGCAATTCATAGTGAGTTTCATTTAGATTAAAAGAAACGATCAGCGCGCTGAGGGGAAGAAAAGCGGAATATAGAAAACGAGCCAAAGATAAGGTCAAACAGAGAAAACAAAATTCAGCTAAGATGAAAAAATAACTTTACGGAAGTAAACCGTCAGACCCTGCCGCAATTCCGATTATGCTGAGATTCTAGAGGATATTAATATTTCTTGCAATTTGCACGATCAAACATGACTCCATATATCATCCTCAAACAATCTACAAGTCAGCATTTGAAAAGAACAACCTTCTTCATCGACATCAAACGAATAGCTGGAGGACATGAAACCATGATATAAAGATCTCTTCATTTAGATGGGGGCGGGCAGCAGAAAGACGAAAAACTAAAAATTTTCCATGTGTTGGACCCATGCAGTGGGTTGGTCGTAGAAAAAAACTGAAAGATCACCAACAATCTTTCTTAAGCAGTCAATCAGTATTATTAGCCAGTAAACATTCAGAAAACGTAAACCCTCAGTCCTATTGAACGTGATGGCAGCCATTTAACATGTAATACACAACATTAGTAAACAAGAAAAGCTTAGAAGATCTTGGTTTACATATTCTAAAAACGAGAATGCAATTTTTTGTACACCCTGGAAGATTTATCAGAAACATGGTGCTGCCGCTACGCCATACTACAGGATTCATTGATTGAAAAAAGTTTTAGCAAAATCAACTGAGCACGAAACATCTGGAATCCACAGAGGTGCATCATTAAGTGGAAAATTCGAGTATAACAAATGAAATCGCGCCAAGGCATCGATCAAGACACTGAAAGTCTCATTCACACAGAGAAAGAAAAATGGAGAGAAATTCTATAATCATGGATGCGGTACTGTATCTTTCAGCAAACTGTCGTTCTTTTCTTGGGTCTGATGATATCTCAAGTAGCTTGTTCACAAAGTGTCCTCGACCTAGCGAAGGAAATTTTCTGAAGTTAATCTTTCCACTTGCCAAACATAATTCAACTCTTAAGTACCATTCAAAGCACCAAACAAAGGTAAAGAAATCATATTTATCAAAGATAATTCAAAATGAAGTTATTAACTTAAAGGTAAAACAGTTTGAAATAGCATTTTAAACGATATTAAAGAAGCCAAATACTACACAATAACGCTCGATTGCACTCCATATGTGTCTCATACAGAAAAAAATGAACTATGTGATTCAATACATAAAAACGTGTGGTGATGTGTGTGAGATAAAGGAAAATTTAATTGATTTCATAGAAATTGGTGGAAATATAGGAGAATGTATTTCTCAATGCATTGTAGAAAATTAGTGTCTTAATTGAAACTTGATGGTTTAGATATTGGACAATGTCGGCGTCAGTATTACGACAACGAGTCTAATATGGCTGGCATTTCTGAAACAGTACAAGCTAGGATTACAGAAATAAATAAGCTGGGGGAATTTGTGCCGTGTTTTGGCTCACTCCTCGTATCTTGTCGGTGTGCATTTTGCTTCTTCGTGCCCGGAAGCAGTTAATCTATTTCGAATTACTCAGAAAATACTTCGCTTTTTTGTTGGATGCACTACTCGATGGTATATTATGAAAAAAAATTTACAAAATACAACTTAAGAGGAAGCAGCAAGCAAAATATGTGGCTGTGAAAGTCCTTTTAAGGAATTTATAGGAAATATTAAAGTATTTAAAAGAAATTAAAGATTTTTCTCTTGATGCAGAATCAAAGCACGAGGTACGACATCTGGTACATGCTGTGAAAAATTTTTAATTTAATATCAACCTCAAAATTTGAACTAATATTTTTCCAGAATTCAATCGAGTAAATATAGAAACTCAAAAGGAATTCCTCTTCCGCCTTCTATGTAGTTAGCGAAAGAACTAACCAAAATTGAGGAATTATAAAAAATGAGAGAAAAATCCTATGGAATATTGAATACAAGAATCTAAAACAGTAGCCGAAAAACTTTCAGTTGAGTCTATTCTGACGACGGAAAAATTCAAAAGCACAAAAAGCAATCTGATTAAGTGTTTGAGGACGAATCACGAACACTTCAACCTGTTCAGATCGAAGTTTCAGCAAATTAAAACATATTAAAAAATATCTACGATCATCGGTGAGCCAGGAGCGTTTATCAAGTCTCGCGATTCTGGCAACCGAAAATCAAACCGCAGATCAAATTATGACGATTCCATGCACTTATTTGCAGAACAAAAGGCTTACAGAGTAAAATTTTAATTTTCGTTACTAATTCCATGATATTTTAATAGCGTTAAGGCAGGTAAGAACATAAAATTACTTCTGAAATAGGAAGTATGAAAAACAAGACAGGAAGTACGAATACTAGGAGTGATGGCCCTTTTCTGTATAGTCTTTTCAGAAATTTTTCTTTCCTTAATAGCCCATATTTTGTATGCAATGACCTCATTAGTGGCTGAGCAATAATAAAAGCCTCTGAGCACAGTAGTTCGGTCGGAGAGTCAAGTATATGTGAATGTGCTGGCTATATGAGCATTTCCGTGATTTTTCCGTGTGTAACATACATAAGAGCTAGTTTCCCTTAAAAATTTTTTTCCACGGTGCATTCCTCCTCTTCCATGCAGTGCCTAATGGCGAAACACATAGTAAACAATCAGACAAATGTCCTCAGCAGTGGCCGAGTGATTAAGACCGCTGAGAATACTGGTAGTTCGACCTTGCCTGGGTTCAAACCGAGGCGAACGGGCTGGCTGCATGGCTTGTTTTCCTGGATTTCCTCACGTGTAACGTGAGTACGAGCCAGTTTCCTTTAAAAAGTTCTTCCACGAAAGCACCTCTCCTCTACTTAAATAGCCGTCCTGTTTTTGCCATATTCATAAAATCTAACGTAATTTAACCAGCACGCAATAACACGGAATAGTGAGAAGCTTAGGAGATGCTCGTTCCCCCTAGAGCGGGAAAACGAATGAGAGAGAGAGAGAGAGACCTTCTGCTCTCAGTTGTGATTAGGTGATTTCGAACAAGTTAATTTCAATCCTTTGCTATTGAAAAATCATGCGTATGCACACTTATATACATATATATATAAAGAGGGGAAAAAAACGACTTTTTTATTGAAATTAAATATGCAGAAATTTCATACACAGGCAACGCAATAATTAAAAATTCAGAGTCATAGGCATAGTTATCGTAAGATATAGCATCCCACATCATCACACCAGCATAATGGCTGTGTGCCTGTGTAAAACAAAGGCTGATTGGGACCGCTAGCCTTGCCCCTCTAAGAGACGGACTCGATGGTCGTCTGTTCCAAGACTAAACCGGGATTCATTGCTGAACGCAATGCGATGACAATCGGCTGGCTGCCAAAATCATCGACACCACTTCAGACGGCTCTGTCGATGTTATGAGGTTATAAAAGCACACATCAGGCCGCTGTGAGCGCAGCTCCGTCTCAGCCAAGTGTCGTGAGATGACGGAAGGTGACAGTTGCAGTATAGTTTAACCGCGCCTGCCGCGACTATGAGCACAAGTATGTATGCACTATTCGGACCGATTTAATGAAAATAGGGTGGATGGAACACAAATTTTCCAGATATTAGTCCAACGGGGAAATTTTCCCAGAAGAACTATATATTTCGTTTTGGCATTTTGCGTTCATTCACAACAAGCGTCGTTTCACTTTTCAAATTGTTGTCACCAAATGTTGTCGCCCTATATTATATTTTAAGAAACTGAATAATGAAGAATCTGCATAAATGTATTTATGTTTCTCGCATTATGATAAAACAACGGCACCTAAAGCCATCGACTTTTGAATAATGTAACCCTCCTGCGAATATGGCCATCTGGAAGCCCAAATTTGAAATTTGTTTTATGATCGATTTCATATTTTGAAAAACTTTAACGGATTTTTGATTAACAAACTCCAGGATTTCAAAACGAGCAATGGAAATGTTGTACAGAAAAAAAAAAAAAAAAAAAAAAAAAAAAAAAAAAAAAACATTTTTATCTCCAGCGTTTGAGACTGTGTATTCGGAAATTCTAAAGATATGCTCTTTTTAAATTATTTGTGCGATATTGCTTCTTGAATTCAATTCAAAAGCAATATTCAAAGTGCGAAGAGCATGCTATTTAATAAATAAAGGTAACACATCGAAATGTAAAAAAAAAAAAAAAAAAAAAAAAATAAAATCTCCTTTGACGTAATTTAAAATCTGAAACCTTTCAGAATTTTTTTTTTTTTTTTAGAAATTTTTTTCATTTTTTATTTTTTCTCTTTTTTTTTTCACTGCTTTCATAGGTAACAGATTTGAGGAGGCAGAAAATGACTGTTAAGTAAGATAATATGCTGATCATTAAATGTAATTAATTATTTGATTACATTGTATTTAATTTTGTGCATTTATATGTTTATTTATATATTTTGGTAAAACTATCTGAGTTTTTAAAGCTTAATTTTACTGCATATGTTATGTATATTTAGAAATTGTATTATAATTGTAATAGTAATTTTGTGATAATAAATAATTATTATAATAATACTAATTATAATTATTTTGTATCTCTTAATCCTTGGACAAAAAATGCACGTATATTATATACACTGAAAAAAGAAATTCTGAATAATTAGTTAATATAATTATATTAAGTATATCTCTATTTGATTTTTTTGAAGTTGGGAATTAGGTATTTCGAAGACAGAGATAGGTTTGGGAAAACAGGAAACAAAAAAAACGTCCTCGCCGGGAATCGAACCACGGGCCTCTGGAATACGCGCCCAGCGTGCAGACCACTATACTACGAAGACAAGCTAAGAAGGCGGGAGAAATACCTTATAAGTTGGAGTGTGGGATGAAATCAAGTTTATCTTAGAAAGAAAGAACGAGAATAATTCTTGCATAAAATATCACAATGTTGGCAAATGCGATGTTAAATTAACTATGATTAATGTAGATCCTGCTCAAATGGAGTGGATACCTGCTGATCTTTATTTTTCGTTTTTTTTTTTTTTTAACTACAGAAAGAATATTTCCGCTAAAAAATTGTAGTCCCATTATTGGTGCTACTTTCGTAGACGGTTGCACGGATTTTTGGCGATTTTTTCTTTGGCGAGTGATACGACTAATGGTAAACCCATTGCTAGACAAGCTATTTATGGTAACCGATACTTTGTTGTCATTTTATTTAAAAAATAATGCGTTTTATTATGCATAAATTCTGTGTTTAAATATCATTTATGGCTTCGAAATATTAAAAATCAATTTAATTGTGCATTTTTATTTGAAATAAAAATTTTATTGTTTATGATATTTTATGGAATTTTATGTTGTGGGTGATGTAATGAATGACGTCACATTACTTTAAAAGTAATTGGTTTTAATATCTATAAATTTAATCTAATATTTTAAACACTATTTATGGCTGTTAAATATTAAAATACAATTTAATTTTGCATTTTTTAAAAACGATTTTATTATGTATGATTATTTAAATAATTTAAATTCTATTCGGGATGTAATCAGCTCCCTGATTGGTTACAGAATATTTGTGCATTAAGGAGCTGTAATCAGCTCCCTGATTGGTTACTGAATATTTGTGCATTACCGCGACATTTTAAAATTTTATTATTCATCTCTTCAAATTCTTTAGATTACATTTTTCAGTTTTTTTTACAATTTTTTTCAAATGTTTTCATTAGATTATATTTTTAAAAATTATATTACATTTTTGAATTTTTTCATTTGATATCTAAATTGATGCATTTTTTTGTAGTACTTATCAATATACGACAGGTTAAATACTAAAAAAAATGTTAAGTACATATTTTTCTTTATAATTGTATACTTTAATTTTTATTAAAAATTAATACACTGTTTTCAAAAATTGCCGAGATATTTATTGCCACATATGTTTTAATGTTAAATAATTATATCCTACAAAACTTATTTTAAAGGATTTGAATTTAAGTAATATTTTAATTCTTTTAAACGTTAGTATGATGTTTTTAATTCGATATTCTATTTAAGTAATATTTTGATCCAATTAAACGTTGGCGCAATGTTTTTATAGCTGTGTTTTTATTCTACTCGTATTTCTTAGAATCTTTCTCTTCTTTTCTTTCTTTTATTCTATTCTATATGAAAGTAATAATAATTTAATCTTACTTTAGTATTTTATACTCATAGTAAATGTATTTATTTAAATTTGCTTGCCATCTTAAAAAACGGCATTTTCAACAAAAAATTAATCCATTATTTTGAACGATATTTATTTTTTTAAAGTCCTTTATGCGGTAAACTACGTAAAAACAGCGTTTTTTCAAGATGGCTGACGATTGTAAAAACCGCGCCAACAATTGCGCCAACGTAAATCGCCAAAAATCCGTGCAACCGTCTACCAAAGTAGCACTCCTTTATTTTTAGGAATTTTGTTTGTATACAACAATGAAAACAATGTAATAAACAATGAAATATACGCTGTTCACGTAAAATTAGTATGTTACGAAAACACATTTTCAACAATTTTGGTTTCCAGCAGCGCACATCAGTGCGAATTTTCGCATTTATTTCTGCGAATATGAAATAAAGGCGCGAAAGGCAACAGGATTGATTACGCTATGACGCGGGGAGTTTCCCTTCTTCAAGAGTGAGTTCTTCAAGAGTTTCTTTTCAAGAGTGAACTCTCCATGTGACCGCCTCACCCTGCGGAGTTTAATTAAAATCCCGTCTGGACAAGGCTTCTGACAAAACAATGTGTAAACAATGTGCTTTGGTAGAATTCCAGCCAAGGTTGTGTTTCAGGTGGTCGAACTACATGGAAGAGGCTGTAGCAGGTTAGCTAGTGGATAGTGATGAAGTTGGGGTAGTTCGGACCTGTCTCACAATCATCCGATGTTGTCTCCCATTCGCGCACCTTCGCCTTCTACAGCTTTAATTCCATCGATAAGTACTTTGCAACAACCATTGTTGTCGGAATGTTTCCACAGCCATGTCCGTACGTGTAGGGGCGGCTTATTGTTCATGTATGACCAGATCACTTCACGCGCCTCTATCTTGCGAACACGTTCCATGTTGTCAAATTAGCTATAAAGTCTTTGATAACTTCTTAACAGCATTATTTGTAGTATCTCCAGAGAACTACGACGCCAAGAATTAAAAATATGTACCGTCTGCAATTGTTACCGATTTTATAGGATGCTAGTTGGGCAGTAGACACGCATGGTGTGACAGAAGTTAATCCTTATCAGGCCTGAAAACTGAATTTGAATAACTGGTGACATTTGTTAAAAGAATTTGTATACAAATTTTCGAGGTGATCAGATTATTATTTTTTTTTTTAAGGATGCACATTTTTTTTAAAGATTGTATAAGCGTTTTAATGGAATAAATACTAAGCATAAACGATGAATAAGTGGTACGAAAATAAGTAAACGGATGCCAGTAGAATTTTATTTTCCAAATTAAAATGGAAGTAAATTTTTATTATAAAAATGGAAGTAAATTTTTACCATAAATGCAAACGAAAAAAAAGTCTGTATTAAAAGTGATCAAACTGGAAGTAAATTATGTTCATTTTAGTTCAGCGTAGTAGAAACACAGCAATGAAAAGTTGTATTTTTCTCTTCTCTGTCGAAATAAATCACAATATCATAACGAGAACGTTTTAAATCGGCATTCGCAGTTTCGTCTCTTAAAGCACCTTTTTCTACTTTGTATTCGAGTGCTTCAACTAATTCATGAGAAACAAGCTGGGGATATCTTTCTGCAAATTTTTTAAGGCTCTGAATTATATCTTTTTTATTTAAAGAACTGATGGTATACAGCTCAACTTCACTATCGGTAATATATATGCTGAAGTCGAAAGTTGTTTTCTGTTTCAAAATGTTGATCAGATCTGAAACTGAAAGAAAAAAAAAGTAAAAGTGAAGCAAAATTTAACAATTAATATTAATTCCTCATAGTTTAGATAGCAAAATATGACAGGTTAATGGTATAAGGAGGTTCTGTAATGCTACGAGAGCTACGAAATAAAAGAATGACATGACAATCAAATCAGTAGGACACATAGAGATCTATAAGGAACAGCAAGAAAGAAAGCAAGTTGATAACAATAACTGAAGCTTTGTTCCCTTAAGATTATTTTTTGTGTGTCTTTTGCTATGTCTTAGACACCTTTCAAAGGAAATGGAAACTGGGGAGTTATTGAATGGTTGAATGATCGAAGCCAACTCTCGAGAAAAAATGAGCAACATAATTTTGATTTCGCTCAAAAAAAAAAAAAAAAAAAATCTTTACCCTATATTATGTTTCTTCCTCCTCCCTGACCTCAAAAGGTTCTGAGTACTTGGAACTGGTGGTTCTCACATAGTTTTCTTTTCTTTGTAGAATATCGGTATAAAAATTTAAATTTAGCATTTTCTTTGGTTAGAGCTATCACATGATAAAAATTTTCATAGTCTGAAAACCTGCTTTATTTGATTCATTTCATAAATTGAAGTCATGATTCTACAACAAATCGTTTAATATATATTTAATCTTACACTCTTTGCGTATTCTTTATTCTAAAAATCTGCTTTCTTAATTATAAAAAATACGCTTTTCGGAGAAAAGGAGTCCTGTTTAAACAACTTCATCAGCGAATAATGATTTTATTGTGCAAACTCTTTGATGGGAATATTTTTGAGTTCATAGTTATACAGTAGATAAATTATTAAGTTCAAAGGAATATATTAAACGGCATTCAGTTTAATTTATTAAATACAGAAAATTTTGACCTGTTGACAGGAAATAGATATTTAGCAATACATATTATGCATTTAAAAGCAACGCAACTAAAAGTTTTCAGTTTAACTCATATAAAATCAATTCAAATTTTTCAATTATTTTTTTAATATCTTTGTCATGGCTTCTAATTTATAAGACTTGAGATTTATAAGACGAGTTTCACTATATCGGTTATTCTGTTTTACCGCACTTTTCTTTTTCCAAGGAAGCACAAATTTTCAATGGATTCCTATCTAGCTTATTTATTGATGAAAAATGCTTCCTTTCTGCTTTTTAATTACTTTCTGCTAAATGTGAAAAAATGATTAATGGCTTTCAGCGAATCGCCAAAAATACTTTTGGAGTAAACTATGATGTTAAGAGACTGATGTATAAGCAGTGTATTGTACCTTTCATTTCGTACGGCTGTCGTGTTTGGGGACATGCAAAGAAGGTTAACAAAAGAAATTTGAGAAAGATTCAAAGGAGAATTCTTCGTACTATTAGTGGTTGCAGAACCTTAAGCTATGAGGCTACTTTTGTTCTTGCAGGAGTTCCGCTTATTGACTTTGGAATTGAATATAAGAATATTATTTTCGAGTCATTGGTGACTGATACTGTGGAAGACCGCATAAATGGAATTGTCTCCTTCCCTGATCTTCCTCATCTAACTACTTAAGAGCCCATACATTTCTGCGATTATAAAGAGACTACTGAAATGAATTTTCATATGGTTTTCTTTACAGATGGCAGCAAGATGATTAACAAGGCTGGCCTTGCATTTGTTCTTTTTGAAGGCCATTCCGAGGTTTCCGAGGTTTGTTATTTTAGAAGCCGTATACGGAATGAATGCAGAGTTTTTCAAGCAGAAGTTCTGTGTATTTATCTTGCCGTAAAATGGATCAAGGATAATGGGACAACATCCTCAAGGTACCTTATTTGTTCTGATTCTCTTTCTTCTCTTCAACTTTTGAGCAGTATTACCAGCTGCGACAAATTAGTTATCGACGTCCTATTAATTGTCAGTTCACTTGGAAATAGAGAAATTGATATCCCCTTTGCTTATGTGTGTGGTCATCACGGTTTGTAAGAGCTGATTTCTTAGCTAAATATGCCTTAAATTTACCCATTAATATCCACATTAGCATTCCAAAGAGCTAAAGAAGGTTTTAGCTAAGTGGAATGAGGAATGTATTTCATCTTGTAATGCTGAGGTCACTAAAAAGTTCTTTCCTTCTATTTACCATAGAGTGCATACCGAGTCTTTCCTCTCTATTAATTTAAAATTCTCAGTTTTTAATCTGGTCACGGTAAATTTGCAAGTTACCTGTTTCGTTTTAATCTGAGATAAAACAATTTATGTGAATGTTCAAAAGGAGTACCTCAGGATATGGAACATTTGATTTTCTCATGCCCTACATTGGATGGCTCTAGATTATACTTTCAGAACGATTTGAAAATATTCGGAGTGACTTGGCCAGTGAACTTAACTGCTTTCGTGAAGTCCAGACTGTTGTTCTCTACTTTTGTTCATTTTATTTATGCATGCAAATTTTAATGTTTTTGTTAACTTACTTCTGTAAGCCCTGTGCTGTACATCTGTGGTGCACGGGAGTTTGTATGTTTTCAAATAAAAAAAATGAATACTTTTATATTAATGAAACATTTCTTGCTTTACAGCTTGATGCACCATCGTGTATGAAAAATCAATTTTGATACAAAAGTCGTGCTTTTTGAAATAATAATATACTATTTTTTGTCTCACAGTTACTTTTATAGCATATTATCTTCCTATATATTTGATGTTCATTACATTTCGGACGTATATTAACATTAGATACTTTACAGCAGCCCGGTTCCAGATTATCGTCACGCGGCAGTGATGGCGAACCTATGGCACGCGTGCCACAGTCGGTACGAGCCGACTAAAATATTATTTCCTTAATCAATAATCGCAATAAAATTGGACTATGTAATTTAAATAAGTGTTTTAATTTGTTTTAGAACGTTTCACTTACTTACTTGTCACATAAGGCTACTGGCATGCGGCCTAAGCCTAGATATGAGATTTTCATATATCGCCAAAGAAATAATATACATATTTATTCACCCAATTTATGACGTTTCAATTGTTTGGGCCAATCATATTACTTGTTACGTGGCAAAGAATACGCCAAAGTAGCTAATGTCTGCTAAACGAATTCAAATTTATTGCAGACTGCCGGTGAGTTTTAATACTTTGATTATTAAATAGAGTCCTGTTTTCTGATCTAAGCAGTTTAAGGTAACTTATGAATAATTATAATTTAATATCTTAAACGGAATGTACAAATATAATATAAAAAGATGCAATTTGATAATATAGCAAAATACAATGCTGCATGGATCAGTGTTTCCTGTAATAAAAAGTTTTTGTATCGTTGAAAACTCTCTTCATGTTTTATCTCTTTAAGTCTAAAGACAAGTGTGTGTTGTTTTGCTAAGTCAAACCCCCATTTTCAGGTTTAATTGGAGTGTTGGCACTTTGCTATAAATAAGTGGGTTTTGGTTGAATTTTGGGCACGCGAGCCCTGAAAGATTCACCACCACTGCTCTAAGGCATTACTACAATTATTAACGCTTCACATAAATTAAACATATTAATAAAGCAAATCGCAATGTACAACTTGAAAACAAAAAAGGGAAGTTCTATACCTCTTGTCCTAATGGGCACATTGGCGAAATTTTGACTTCAGGTATATATTAGGTTTATATATAGCATTTTTCTAACATAGAATTCCTTTCAAAATACACTTAAACAATATAACCGGAAAAAAATTGAAATTGGACATTTTCTGAAATGACATACCTATTTTATTTGCATTTCGATTCTACGACTCAAATTACGCCAAAGTGCCAAATTTTGTAAAAGTCGCACGAATAGGTTTTTTAAAAATTAGCTCTCAAATTTTAGTTTCTCACTTTTAATTGAATATAGTATATGCTTATTACAATCTCTTTTTTTATTAAACTTACTGGACCCCTTCTTTCACAATTCAAAATTTAGATCAAATCCAAATAAAATTCGCAGCTATTTTCTGATTTGTTTTTAAAATTCTTATTTTTTAGTAATATTTATAAAATTTTCGAGAAAAGAATCTTGAATTATAACCTATAACAGTTTTGCCATCACCTTAAAGTAGATGTATTTCTAGGTATACTTGCAAAAAATAAAATTTTTTAGTCCAGATTTTCGAAGATATACCTGAATTTATGTATTGGCGCGTTTTGAAATTTGTTTTGTTAGTTATAAGCGATAACAACATCAAGTATGGATTACGTACTTTGTTAAAATTGTTTGAAAGAATGAACGATGCAATTTTTATTCATATTGTGCAAAGTGAAAGGGAAGGTTACCATAAATTAGGAATTTCACCAAGTGAATTATTCTTGGCGCAAACTAAAACAAGTGAGCTAAGGCAAATTTTAAAAATTCTCGGTAAGTTTCTCACCAAAATTTACAAAATATAATATTTAGGGTCAATTTGTTCGTAGAATCGAAACACGGAAAAATAGTTATCTTACTTCTGAAAAACTCGGATATTGTGTCAGAATACCTATGTTAGCACAATGTTGTATATAAATCTAACATATACCGTAAGCCACTCTTTCGTGAGAACGATACCCAACGTTCCACCGAAATCGGTACCTTAAGCGGCTAAAAAAGTAAAATTTTAATTAAAATTAAAATGAAGCAATATAACAAAATGTTATAATAATCATTGTCGTGTAGTAAAATATTATTCATTTGGTGTCATAAATATCAAAGGCGTAGAAAAATGCAAAAATGTGGTATTTTGCTACACTGCGACTTAGTAAAACTATCAAAACTTTACCCATTCTGTTAAATTCCGTTTTTTCCCGTTTGCTGCTTGTTTTCATCATTTACATCTGCGTCTTTAGTGTCAATTTTATTTTCCTCGTACATTTTGATTTTTGAGTTTGGATACAGCCCATAAACTTAAAAGAACTTTTATTAAGATCGCTCACAAACTTTTGACTAATATTGAATTTTTTGGTTATAATTAAGTAATATTATTATTATTAAACTGAGAAATATAATAAGGAACTGCATATTTCTCAATAATTTTTTTACATAGATTTTAAATAATAATAATACTGTTTATATGAAGTATTCTGTCACAATTATTTAATATTTCGAGTCTAATATTTTTTTCAGGTCTGTGTTTTCATTTTTATTTCTTTCGTTCATTCGGCCTTACTTAAGGAACATATAAAGAAATGAAATAGGTAATATTTAATAAGCTAGTTATATTAAAACATTATAAAACATACCTCTTCCTCTCAGTTTCATTTCAATAGGCCAGTGATCAGATATTGCTTTAGCCTAGATAGAAATTTTGCTTATTATTCAAATTATATAAAAATCATGGATAAGTGTTAAAAATAGCGCAAATTAAATTAATATCAAAAATTTCATTTTCGATTTTCGAACTGGTTTCTTAAAAGCATTTTCACGCAAATATATTATTTGATAGAAAAAGTATTCCATTGCAATATATCTTCTTCATCCGAATAAAGTAATTATTCTATCTATATCTGTTGAGAAATCTTCATACTTTTCTCACGAAAATTTAACCTCGAGTTTTGTAATATAGATAATTCATTAGAAACTAGAGAGTAAAGCACTTCAAACTACTAAGAACGTTAAACGCAATGTAATGAAAAGCTCATCTAAAGAGAAAGGTAAGTCGGATTTATCTCTGTTCACACGGAATTACGATTTGCAACAACAAAAACCAACAAGCATCTGAACTCTCTGTGGGCTTTTATAATTTTCAACCGATCATCGAGATATTTCTAGTACTTTCTGCTTCTCGAAATTACTGGAAAATAATAAAGATGTGGGATTACGGTTACAGCTAACATAGCGGTCGATTACGTTTATTCAATTTCAATACATATTACGGGTGATACAGGGACTGGACCAAAATGTTGTCAAATAGTCGCCAAATTTGCCGACTTTTCTCAATTTCTGGTAAAAATCTGGTCGAAAAAAATAAGTCACCACAACCGTTGTCAGCTTAACGATATCTCGCCAAATTACCGAGAAACCCATTTACTCAAATGTTAAATGCACTTGCCCCTGTATTCGTGTTTTTCTGCATAGTTTTTTTCTTAAAATTTGTTTCGCGTTACATTACACAGAAAAATACAACAATTTTACATATAAGTGATCTAGAATCATCTATCTATGTACAAAATTCGTAACAATATTTTCAGTACCATTGGGGAATGTCTATTTAACTATTCAAGAAGGTTTTATATTAATTAAAAGCTGAAATAGGAAGTAGTTTTACCTGATAGCGAAAAGTACTGTTTTAAGATATTCACTTTTCTTTCATCATCAGGATAATGCAATCTATAATGCATTACTTTAACTTTTTAGTATTTTTATTTATATATTTACATTGAATTTGTTTTAAGCGATTCATTATTTTATTCTTTATTTATTATTATTTTATTGATTGAATTTTGTTTGACTTTCTAAACGGCCTTCCACAGGATTTTGGTACTTCTAATTTTAGTAATTAAGACTTGCCAGTGTTGATTAGAATTAAGATGTAATAGAACAGAACATGGAATACTTTAAATACTATACACAGTTTTCTCATGGACAAGTTTTAATAGGATTGGGATTTAAGTTGCTTTAGGAAGAAATATCCAATGCTATTTTATCCGATTCGTTTATCTATGTAATACGATTCTAAAGGCAACTTTTCAAAAACCTCTGTTTGATTTCAATTCTAATTCTCATTTATAAAACAAATCCCTGAATATAAGATTCATAAGATAAGAGACTCTACGTGAAATATGGCTACAAGAAAACATGAAAACGTCTCTACAAGTTGTGGAGTGATTGACAAGCTTGAGGAGCGGCATAGTTTGATGTCTGTCACTTAAGAGATTAGAATTGATAAAAGTGCTATTTCGTGAGTTTGGAAAACTCTCAAAATGACAGGTACAGCTGCAAGAAAGGTTGCTCGTGGTCGTCTGAGAAAAATAACGGTGACTAATGGTCGATATATCGCCTTGCAGGGAAAAAGAGATCGAAACCAGACAGACAGTAATATTGCTCAGTAGTTGTGCACCGTAACCGGACGATAGTTGTTCTCATTTACTGTACCCAGAGGATTTCATAAACTTGACCTATTCAACTGACGTGCAGAACGCTGCATATACTTGACAGCAGCCCATCGGTCGCACAATTTACAGTGGTGTAACATAGACTGGACACCTCATTGATGAAATCACGTCCTCTTTATCGATGAGAATTGTTTAAGACTAATAAATGATTCTAAATGATTTTAAATTCGGACCCAATTGATATGGATAGAGTAGAGACATGTTTTCATTCAACTAACATCAGGGAAAGAGACGACTGGGATGGTCCTGGTGTGCTTGTGTGGGAAGGCATTATTAGGAACGACGGGCAGAGCTCAACATTTTCCACTCTTGGTTGGAGATCGTTACTGTGATGAAGTTACCCTTCTCCACTTTGGTCTTTTACCGAGTGCCATTGGTCCTGACTTTGTTTTGTTTTTATGGATGACAATGCACGGCCATGCTGAACTCATGCTGTTGAGGAGCTCCTGGAAAGTGAAGATATCCACAGAAACCAGAGAAATTGACAAGGACCGCTTTCCGCAGAAGTTGCAAAAAGACTCCTCAAGACAACATTCCAAGAGACATGGTCATCACGATGGCAGGAAGAAGAGACAGGAAAATTTACTTACAACATCTTCTCAATACCTACTCTCAAGAGGCTCAAATGCAACCGACTCTTCCTCCAGGCCTGTACCAACCACGGGAAATTCCCAGCGTATTACAGACGATTATCACATATCCTGTGAATACACTGTTCACGGACTGTTACTGCAACAAGGGCATCTTAGAGATAATGAAGCAAATGAATAAAAATAATTATATCCAAGGAACTAAAGATTAATGTAAAATGTAGAAAGGAGTCCTAACCGACAGATTGCTAGCAACGATCAGGATGAGTTCCTAACCCTGTAGTGCCATTAACCATTAACTTAGTTTGGCGGAACAGGTTAAGTAAAGTGACCATATCCACAGAATGGAATGGCCAGCGTGTTTCCCTGATTTAAAATTTCGCATGTGTCGGATACATGCGAAGTTGGCTTAAAACTCTTTAAAAAAACATAAATGTTAGCAGCTATAACCTAATCAGACCTAAATCAGAAAACCTCAGCTTAAATACTTTTAATCTGATTTGCATTCTCGTGAGGAAACGGAAAAGAAAAGTTACAGTATATGCTGAAATTACAAATAACTGGTTAAACAAAATAATAATAACCTTACAAAGTACTTGAGCATGGTAAATAAATAACATTCAAATCTTGCTTAAACTGCTTCTGAAAATTAAGAAAATTTTAACGATTGCCTTCATTCACCATCAATAAGTATGAAATTAAAAAGTGATACATTATGATCATTAGCCTTGAAAAATTTAGAGAAAATTTACAATATCAGTATTTATTCATAACTTAAAATCCTTAAATAAGTGAAATGTGGCAATTTATCTTTTCGTATGAAACATAACAAAACGTAGTTCATAATTTTTACATACCTGTCGTATGGACAGCAGGATACAGCTAAAGTGGTGTCCATGTCATGAGGCGTCAACCAAGTGAATTCTTTCCTGCGCCATAGCTCAATATGCTCCCAGTCTGATGCTTTTAACGTTCTGCAACCAGCGTTGAAGTCTCCCATTATAATCGCATCCTAAAATTTTAGTAGCTAACTAGATGCACTAGTATTCAAATGTATAGAAGGTGGCAGAGAGATATAATAATGTTAACAATGTTAAAGATTTCTCACTATTTTTCATTTCACGAGAAAAACAGCTTTACTTCTTATTTTTCAAAAAATTTATTCATGACATATGTATTATTAAACTTGCCTTTATTTTATACCAGACTAGCAGCTTGCTAGCCTTCGTCTGGCTTTTAAAGGTACCGGAAAAATGGCTGAAGGGAACACCAAACGTTAAATTTAAAAACTGCGTAAAATTTTACTCTGCAGAACAACTTCATAAAAAAAATTATTACGTGTAACAAAATTACAATGAAATAAGCAATATCCCTTAATACAAATATTAATTATCCTAACAAATAAATTAACCAACTTCCTTTTGTAAAATCTTAAGAACTCAAATGGTATAAAGGAGGTTAAGAACTTTGTTTCCTAAAAAAATCACTCAAAACTTTTCAATATCTTAAAAACGTGAAATGAACAATAATAACATAAAGAATACAAAAACAAAAATTCTGAAACGCAAAGTATAATTAATAATATTTATCTTATATTTTCAAGGAAAAAAATTACAATGAAATAAGTAAATTATATAATTTATTTTAATGCTAAAAAAATCATAAAACTTTTTCAATATCTTAAAAAGTAAGAACAATAAATTATTATACGCCAAAGATAATAAAGATAATAATTTTTATAATTTCGAGAAAAAAAATTACAAATGAAATAAGCTAATCCCTTAATACAAATATTAATTATCCTAATAAAAAATTAACCAACTTTCCGTTGAAAAAAAAAATCATGCAAAACTTTTCAATATCTTACAAACAGTGAAATAAGCAAAAAATAGCATGAAAGCAACTCAAAAAACATAAAATTCTGCGCAGAAATTTACTGTGCAGAACGTCTTTATAAAAAAAAATCAATAAAAATGTACCATATATATAAAAAAATGACAATCAAATATACCAATCTCTTAAAAACAGTGACATAAGAAATACGAAGAAAAATTGTTGCCAAACCCATATTTCTAAAAGAATGAAACTATTCAAAATGATGCGATTTCATCAAAAATCTATCAACAATAAGAAAGAAAAATTGTTGCCAAAATCACATTTTTAAAGATGTGAGAAGTGTACTCGGAAGCTTCATTTAAAAATTTTTTTAAAAATTCAAATTATTATCATTTTCCCAAAATTCTTTTTGTAAAAGCAAACGCAAGGATGAAAGTTTAACGTGTCCAAAAATCAAATAAAAATAAACTGTACATTTTTAAAAATAAACTTTTTTAGAAAAAATCCCGTTGAAAAGGTGTTAAGCTCCCTTTGTTAAATAAATTCGTATTTAATCGATTTATTGAAACACGAAATTAATTTTAAGTTCGTAAAATAGCTAAGTGCCTACGTTTCATGACGATGTGAAAATGGAGTGTGTAGAGTAAAATTTCGCTTTCCAATAGCCCATTATGGCTCAAAATGACGCGATTTCGTCACAAAACATAAAATTAAAAAACTTCTAATTCGAATTTCGAAAAAATCGCTTCGAGGTGCACTGGTTCTTGTCTAGATGCACCTACGTACCGTATTTCGTAGACGTGGGTCTATTACACAGACAGACTCTTTCTTTTATTTATATGTAGAGATAACTATTTAAATAACTAGATATTAATTTATCACTATTTGCTGTACCATAATGGCACATTTAAATTTTTAAATAAAATACAACTGCAATTATTACACTTTTATTTCTGAGACAATGACGACAAACATGAAAGCAATAAAAATTTATGTTGGATTATTTTAATATTGCACATATGCCTTTAAAAGTATTCACAGGAACTTTATTTTTGCAACTCTTAGTAGCAGACATGTACTATATTACTATATTATGAAAATGCTTATAAAGTGACCCTACTCAGACCCCTGTAGAACAGGTTCTGCTTAAAGAATTTTGATGAAACTTGGTATGTGCGTTATATGGACCACGGGGAAACGATTTACGCAATATAAAAAATAATTCCAATTTTTGTCCACCAGATGGCAATTTTCAAAAATCCCTTATGCAAATTAGGCAAGCTTATAAAGAACCTTGCAGTCACAGCGAGAAAATCCTTCTGCGTGCCGTTGTCATCGTTAATCATAACCTTACAGAAGAAATATCGAGCTTCACTGATAAAACTGTTTTATCAGAACGGCAGCAATAGCTTAGCTGCACTGAGTGAATATCGTCGTTTAAAGAGATTTCGAAAAGGGTCCATGTCAAAGAATGCTTTGAAGAAGATGAATATGAAATTTGAAGAGATTGCAGACATACACGTTCTACCAGAAAGGGGGCGAAAACCGGTTGCGAATGAAACTGTTGAAGAAATACTGCTGCCGTTGAAAGAGCGTCCAGTTCCCGCTATTCTTCAGCAACTGGATGGTGATAACACATGCCTTTGGAAAATTCTATGGTCAGATAAGGCGCACTTTTCTTTAGATGGGACTGTGAATAATCATTGCCGCATATGGGTTGCTCACTTCTTCACTCACTATATTGTTCTCTTCCTAATGTCCTGGAGCTTCAAAGTTTGCAGACAACTCATTGTCTTCATGCAAAATGTAGCAACTTCTCACATGGGGCTTGTAAATTAAGTCAAAGAACTGCTTCGTGCTAACTTTGGCGAGAAACGCGTAATATCCAGAGCTTTCCCGCATGCTCGTTCACCCGAGTAAATTCCGGTGATTTCTGGTTGTGGGGATTCATAAAAGACAGTGCTTATGGAAAGGAATTAAGACTTTACCGGGGTTGAAAGCCAGCATTACACGCCCTGTTGCTGAAATCCCTTGAGAGTTTCTTCTCGCTACCATTGAGCACATTGTGTAACTGAGTAAACTTTAATGATTTTGACAGATTTTTTGTCTTTCTTTAGGCGCCACAATTCCCCCTAGTGGTCAAAATGTGAACTATTTTTATTGCAGAAATCGTTTTTTCATTGTCCATATAACGTATATTCCAAATTTTATAAAAATTCAATAAGTAAAACGGTTTATGTAGGGGGTATGAAATAGGATCAATTAAATTATAACTACCCTATATTTTTAAATTTTAAAAGCTAATTTGAATTTTTGAATTTTTCTTTTTTTTTAATTTTGAACAAATTAATAAAGCTAACTCTTTGAATTCCCCCTCCCCCGCTACCTGTGGTTATATTTATTAAAAGTTTGCATTTATTCTAAAAAATAAAACAAAAAGAAGTTGATTCCCATACGACATAAATTGATCGATATATTTAATTTTAAAATTTTTAGATTATGTTCAGGGGTCGTAATGAGATGTTTGTATTTATATGTAATTAAAATTGAAAGATAATTTAGAAAAAGGTATAGAACTAAACTCTTTTTTTTTTTTTTTTCTCGAAAGGAGATCTCTTTTACAGAATCTTAAAGAGTTCGTGTTCAGAATTCGGTTGGCACAAAGACAACACGTCAAATTAGTTGCAAAGACTAAAAATTTTCTAGTTTAATGACTTTTCGTGTATACTTATTAGATTATGATTCTAAAATCATGAAATTGCATGAGCATATCAATAATGAATTTTTAGGGTTTTAAAACTTATAAATTTATTCGTTAATTAAATAAAACTTATAAATTAAAATTATTTTAGCGTACCATATGTAACAAATTATATTTTAGAGTGTTACAGACTAATAAACCGCAAAAGAATATCATAAATGATATCAAGAAGGAAAAAACATTAACCTCAAATTACTCTAACTGATGTTTTAACCGACTTTTTAAAAAAAGCCGGGGGGTGAGCTATAACTTCCAGATATTTTCTTATCGCAGACGGTCGAATCTTTTATACTTCATTTTTTAGAATGAGTATAAATCTTTTTAGTATATATAACTATAGAGACCAGGAAACCATATTAAAAGTTTAGTTATTTTAACATCACTGATTTATCAAATTAAAAAATGTCAAAACCTGAATATTTGAATCACTTAAAACATATTTGTAGCTGAAAATATGCGTCTAAGATCAACAGTTACGAAATTTTTGGCTGTAGAAAGAATTTTATGGACATAGAGACTTCATACATATACGAAAGAAATAAAAACTGATTATTAAAAAAATTAAGAAATTTATATAAATTTATTTGGCTTTTAAATTATATACAGAAAATTTAAAAAATTAAGTGTTCACAATATTAAATTAGTACATAAAAAACTCGATTTCGCACTCTTCTTATTTATGTACTGATAAAAGAGTTATAAGATATTTTCTCCCTCCTTTCCGCATGCCTTCGTAGTGTAATTGGAAGTATGCTCAAAGCGTTATTCTAGAGATCCGGACTTCAAGTACCGGCGAGGGTACTGCCTGATAACATTTCCTAATGAATATTGGTTTGCTGTTTTAATGATAAATATAAGTGAGGCAGTAAAATAACAGAAAATTTCATTAAATCACATGAGCACCATTTTGTTCTATAACGATACTCTTAACTGTCTCCAAAGAAATGGACTTTAAGTCGTTCAAAAAATTTTGAAATGACTTGAAGAGATGAAAATTTGAGGGGATAAAGTGTTATGAATATGGGGAAAGGCATAAAACATCTCAGCCATATTCAATAAGTTTTCGTCTGATATTCATGTTAATGTGGGGCCAACCGTTTTCATCCATTCGAAAAATCCGCACCTCAAAGATAGATCAGTTCTGAGGGTTTTGCTTCGACTTCTGCTTTTGAAACTGCCATTTGGGAACAATATTTTTCAGGATTCATTGTTTGTTTTGTGGCAACAGTCCATAGCATACAATTCCTTTGTAGTCCTACAATACACAAAACATTACTTTTGGGAATGCAGGTCTCATTGCGATGTTACTAAAGGAGGTTCATTTGATTCATTCCTGTAATATTTTTCTTGTAACATTATTGAGTAGTATCTAGTTCTCATTTCCAAAAATGAGC